TCAAGTACCCTCAGGATTTATCCTGAAACCCTGTACTGCACTTTGTAGATCCTTTGTCAGTGTCAGACATGAGGATGAGTCACGGCCATTGCTTGACCAATTTGCTCTCTGTGAAAGCCTGAGAGAATGTTTTCTCTTCATGTGACTCGCCCCAGGCACACTATACATCATCGATCACATTCCTCTGTGGCTCCATAATCTTCTTGATCAGAAAATTTGGGGCACAACTGAGTTACATGATGTTACAGTACAGGTTCTCCTATGTTCTGAGTCTTCACTGACCTTGAAAGGCTAGGGCCAAAATGTTGGCTGACCTTGCAGCCCTTCCTTTTCTCCAATTTTTGATCTGCAAAGTTAGGTTGCTAACCCTCCAGAAGAGAAGCTTGTTATTACCCTGCAACATAAGCAGTTCGGTTTACCCTAAGTATCTGTCTAAATATCAAACATCTTAGGCATAATGTGGAATAGGTATTTTCCATCGAGTATTGATATGTTGAACTTTAAGTCCTTACAGAATATAAAGAAAAAAAATAATTTAAAAAATAGGAATAAACACATATTTTTACACAAAAATTTAGAAATCTAACCATATACAGCATTGTAGCAGGACAGCCCTGTGACATTTCTTAAAGACTATTTTTAACAGTAGTTGATGTGACTATTCTATCTCAAGAGTATAAACAGTGAACCTTAAATTAACTGAAATCTAAATTAAAAGACAAGCGTAATGCAGCTGAACAAATGTAGGCTAAATGTGGTTTTAATTTGTATTTTAGATTAGTTAATAATTAATCTAATCTTTTGATTAATAATTAATGTAACATTTACATTAATTAATAATTGATTATTAATAATACATTAATGTAGTATTGCTTTGTATTTTAGCCCAATCCTTTAAATACTGTTTATTACAGTAATAGACACAAGCAGTCAGATATGATCAGCGAAGCAAGAATTCCTACACTAATGAGACATACATGTGCTCTACGTAGTTCTTAGGTAGAATTTTGTTTTTGCCCAGAGAAATCCTTTGCTTTCTGTATGTGCTATTTCAAATACTTGTGCCTCTTTGATGAGAAAAATAAATAAACCATTGATATTTGTTTTGCTTGTAACCAGTTGCCGTGACCCCTTACGGTTATGCGTCCAAGTTTGAGATCCACTTTGATGACAAGTTCGATGTGTCCTTTGGGAGAGAGGGAGAGACGATGAGTCTGGGCTGCCGCGTGGTCATCACTCCTGAAATCAAGCATTTCCAGCCCGAAGTGCGGTGGTACCGGAACGGTAAGTGGTCGTCGGGAGTCTTGCGTGGACTCTTACCCGCAGAAGCCGGCGCCAGCGTGCAGGGCCGTTGATCAGGGCTGGTGTCACCCGACCGCCAGAAGGTGCGACTTGCTGCGGGTCTGAAAAACATTCACTCCTGCATCAAAGTAGTAACACATCAATAATACCTTTGTGAAGTGGAGATTTTCTTCTCGCTAATTAAGTGGAATTGCCCCCAAAATGAATATTCAGTTTGTAAATTAATTTTTGTTAAAATGCTTTTCA